GATGAGGGCAGCGACATCGTCTGTCGTACCAGGGGGGGGGGGGGTGGTCGGCCTATCATGTTTCATGGTGGTGGAGAGACGGCAGTGGTTTTGAGGTAGGAGCGACGGCGCGGAGAGAAGGTCTGGTCGGAGATTGGACCGCAGACCCTCTGAAGGCTTGCTGAGTTTCGACCGTACACCTCGGCTTAAGCTTAAGCGCTTACCCTCCAGAGGCACGCGGAGTTGCGAGACTAATGTAGTACATCTCGAACCAGCCCCTACGATGAGATGGGGCTTCAAGCGACGGGAGCGAGAGGGTCTCGTGGAGATACCGCAAAACAGCCGCCAACGCAAAGCGACGACGGCCCAATCAGATTGCTCGGCAGGGTCGCTTTCCGGGCGCCCGGTTAGGTACGACGTACAGGTAAGCTTACAGTAAAGCAGATATCAAAAAGAGGCGGCAGATAGGAGTAGGAGAATTAAAACAAGAGATACTGTACCAGAGCCGCAGAAAATAGCGCAAGGGGGCTGGCGGCAAAGAGGGAAGGGAACGGGCGGGAAAGCGACCTGTCCCTTACGGCCGCACTTTATATACCGTTTGCGGTCAGAGGGATCCCAGTTAGGCACACCCGCTGCCGACAATAATCGGCAGTGTTCCTGAACAGACTGTGTTCGTCCGCTAGTGGAGGCCGTGGGCAGCGGCCGCGTCGTCGATGGCGCTTCGAGACGAGACCCTCGCTCTACTCCGAACTACAATTTCCTACTTTTGCTCAGAGGCTGGTGCAGTGTACAATGCATGTCATACTCGGCTCCAACTCCAGACTATTGCGCTGTACTAATCATAGCCTGCGTCGCTTTCTGGGGGAACCTTCTCCCATCCATCCGTCTGCAACCTTGATCAAAATTTGCCCCTCCCCACATTGTCGCTAGGAGTTGTGATCCCCACCTGCGCACTACGCGCACGCTGTGTGATGAACGAGTATACACTTTCAATGCAGACCTCAAACAGGCCGCCCTTGGCCGCGCCTCAGAGCCCCTTCGTCTAGAAGTCTGTCTCCTCGAGTGTGACGGTATAGTTTAGCATGCAAAGCAGACGAGTTTCAGGCTCTTTGGCGGGAGCTTGAGTGGCGACACATCATCCGGTACACCCGATGCTTTGCCGACGCAGACGAAGTGCCCTTGCGGCAGAGCGCCTCGAAGTCGCCACAGAATCTGCCCCACGCGTTAGTATGCCACACACTGGCGTGGACCTCGGCGGTAGCGTAGGGGACGAGCTCACGTGTCCTTGCCCACACTGTCGAACACCGCATGCACGCCCTCGCCGTTCGTGATCTCGAGCACACGCCGCACCGTGTCCTCTTGGGGTACAACATAACGTGGTCTGCTCCATACGGCTTGACGATCTCCGTCTTCTCGGGCGTGCTCGTAGTGCCGATGACCGTCGTGCCACGCGACGTGGTACAATGTACTTTTCGACCTGAACGGCGGCGGGTGTGACCGTGACTGTAGTGGTGACAGCGGCGGGGGCCGACCAATTTTTGGGAGTGTCGTAGTTTCACGTTTGACGCACCCAAAGGGCTTTGTATCTTTGACGCCGTGCTTTGGCCCTTTTGTCCGTCACGCAGTGGCACACTCCATCATTGCACCTTTGTTCTCTGTATGTATATATACGCGCCGTTTACTGTAGAAGAAAATCATCCAATTCCCCTCATTCTCTCGTGTGCTCGAACTCCTCTACAAGAGGTTATGAGCCCCGCCGCGTAGACCGCATCAACAAACTTACCTCGCACCCCGAAATTCCCGAAATTTCGCTCTCACACCAAGTTTCAACACCCGCATCAGCACGATTATCGAGTAACGATACGACAGCATGTCGGCGGACAGTGAACGGACGACAGCTATCTACGGTGGCGGCGGCCACCGCATCGAACCCCTTCGCGGACCCGAAAACTTCGTGCCATGGACAGTCCGGATGGAGGACATCTTGGACGACATGGACTACTGGCCTATCGTTAAGGGGGAGCTAAAGAAACCCGAAAACGATAAGGAAGACAAGTGGACAAAGAAGGACCGCAAGGCACTCACCCAGATTCGCCTCCGTGTCTCGGAGGCAATGATCCCCTATATCATGTCCGCAAAGACATCGAAAGATGCCTGGGACACGCTCCAGGCGATGTTCAAGGTCTCCGGACCAATCGCGGCTGTCCTCATCCAGCGGAAGCTGTTCCGCTACATGATGGAGGAAGGCTCCAATGTCGAGGAGCAGATCCGCATGCTGCGCGGTTACCAAGAACAGCTCGTCGCACTCGATTCGGCGGTCAGCGATAAGGACTTTGCATTTGTCTTGCTCACCGCCCTCCCAAACTCCTGGGACCCATTCGTCAGCGCGCTCGACACCAGTGATCTCGAGACGAACAAGCTCATTGGTCGCATCCTTGCAGAAGACAACCGTCGGAAGGCGCGCGCGACCACCGAGACGACGCTCTTTGCGAAGAAAGGCAAAGAGATGAAGAAAGGCAAGTTCCGCAAGGGCGTAACATGCTATAACTGTGACAAAGAAGGACATCTCGTGTCAGAGTGCCGTGGACCGAAGAAGAACGCCAACAGCAGCAAGCCGTCAAAGGCGCATCACACCCTCGATCACAATACGGATGACTCCTATGAGTTCAACATCTTCGACGAACAGACGTTCGTTGCGCACTCGGGCCTATAGCTGGCAGACTCGGCCACTCAGTCACACATTGTACGCGACCGGTCCCTATTCACTTCCTACCACGAGACACCTGATGGCAAGATCTCGGGAGCCGGCTTGTGTAGAGCACTTGGATGCAGAACTGTCTCTGTAATCTTCAAGATCGATGGACGTGACATCTCGGCCATGCTACAGGACGCGATCCATGCACCTGACCTCCCAAGCAACCTCATATCTATGGGACGACTCACCAAAGCTGGTTTCACCTTTGGTGGCTCGGGCGACGACTTCTTTATCAAGAAGGGCAACCGCACGATCGGACACAGACGTAAATTCAATAATCTGTATCAGCTGGACGTCACCCCCGCCGTTTCGACCGCATATGTCACGAAGACTGGACACACCTGGTACGAGTGGCACTGCATCTTGGGCCACATCAACAAGGCGCAACTTCGCGATCTCAAGAAGCACTCGGTCGGCATGGACGTCGACAAGTCCTCAGACTTCGATTTCGCATGCGAACCCTGTATTCAGGCAAAACAGGCTAGATGCCCCTTCCCGAAGGAGTCGGAGACACAGTACAAAGACATCGGCGAACTCACCGTGTTTGACACCTAGGGTCCAGCGCGGACCGAATCGATCCACCGCAATCGGTACTATGTGTCGTTCACCGACGCGAAGTCCCACAATTCCACTATCGGCTTCATGAGGTCACGCGACGCTGCGCTCGACCACTTCAAGAAGTACAAGGCCCGCATCGAGAAGCAAACCAGGAAGAAGCTCAAGGCTGTCCGCTGCAACAATGCGAAGGAATTTGTCGACAGCAAGTTCAAGGCCTATCTTGATGAGCAAGGCATCATTCTCGAGACGACGGCGCCGTACTCACCTGCCCAGAATGGGATCGCCGAACGCCTAAATTGCACTCTTGTCGAACACGCTCGTGCGATGCTCATCACGAAGAACCTGCCGAAGTTCTTGTGGGAAGACGCTGTCGCATACGCGTGCTTCCTGAAGAACTGGTCTCCTACGCGCACACTGGGTGGGAAGACACCTTACGAGGCCTTCTGGGGCAAGGTGCCCAACATTTCCGACCTACATGAGTTTGGTTCTGACGTCTGGGTGCTCAGGCCGGAGACCCAGCAGAACAAGCTCAAGGCAAAGTCAGAAAAATTCCTGTTCACCAGTTTCAGCGATGGAAGCCAGGCATATCGGTACTATAACTCACGTTTGCGCCAGATTCTGACGTCTCGGAATGTCATTTTTCCTAAGATGAGGACGCCACTGATTCCCGAGGTGCCGAGTCCTCGACTTGAGGAGGAGAATGTGCCGCTCGCGCAAGACAAGTCAAGTCCTCCGGCCGAGGACACCACTCCATCTCCCACCTCTGCTAAACCTGCACCGAATTTGACCCCCAATGATATCAAAGTCGACGCTGGCAACCCATCGCCCTCTATTTGTCGCTCCGCACGCTCAGCAACTCCTGCATCAATCAACTATCGCGAGGCTGCAGGCTACCAGGTTCGGAAGCCCAAAGCGGATGGCGACAGCACGAAGACGCACTTCGTGGCTGGCAAAGCATGTTTCCACACCTACACGGACAAGCTGCAGAGCGTACCCGAAGTCAAGTCGCGACCTGACTGGTCACACTGGAAGACCACCATGGACGCTGAAATTGCACAGCTGGATCGACTATCAACCTACAAGCTGATCGACCTGCCCCCGGGCCGCAAGCCCATTGGCTGCCGGTGGGTATTTGTAATCAAACGGAAGGCTGGTGGCGATATCAGCAAGTACAAGGCACGACTTGTTGGCCAAGGCTTCACGCAGAAGCCTGGGCAAGATTTTTTCGAGACCTACGCACCGGTCTGTTGACAAGAATCCCTCCACAGTCTCGTGGCCATCTCAGCACTCTATCGACTCTTCATACACCAACTTGACGTCACTGGAGCATATCTTCACGCTGAACTCGAAGAAGAAATCTACATGGTCCAACCACCTGAGTACAACGATGGCACCGGACGCATCTGGTGACTGCGCAAGGCTATCTATGGGCTACGGCAAGCTGGCCGCGCCTGGAACATCAAACTCAACTACGAGCTCGCAGCTCTTGACTTCTGCCAACTTTCTGCCGACGCCTGCGTGTACGCCCGTGCACTCAATGGTGCCCCCATCTTCATCATCACGCACGTCGATGACATGTCTCTCATGACGTCGAGCCTCACCGTTCTCACAACTGTCAAGAAGCAGATTGCATCCCGACTGGAAGTCACCAATATGGGCGAAATCAAGAAGTATATTGGCATCGAATTCGACATCGACCGTGAACGCGGTATCTACACAATGCACCAGACCACCTACCTCACAACCATCATCGGACGTTTCGGCATGCTTGACAGCAAGCCCGTCCGCATGCCCATGGACCCGGACGTCCACCTCACGCCCACACCCGAGAATGACGCACCCGATACAACATTTCCGTATGCAGCCGCAATCGGCTCGCTCATGTATGCGGCTGTCAGCACAAGACCTGACATCGCGTTCACTATCCAGCACCCTAGCCAGTTCACCGCTCG